GTACCTACCTGACCCTAAAACTGATCTAAACTCAATTCATATCTTGGTTCTAAACCCAACCCCCACACCCAAAATCAGCCTCTGAAGTTGTGGGGCCCAAAGCAGCACCCGGACCCCACGAGGCTGCGTTTTCCTTAAAACTGGGCTCCACGATGTAGGAAAAACAAGGACACACACACACACATATCTCAACATATATCTGTCCTCGCACCTCAGGAGGAACATCAGTGTGGAGAAGGTACCGGCAGGCGGGAGGGTCTCCGTCCTTAATCCAGACCACTTGAAACCCATGAGGAAGAGGAAAAGGAAGGAGTATCTGAGTCCGTCTGAGGAAGACTCTGATCTGGAAGGCCCGGTGAGACATACACACACCTGATAGGTTCAGAAAGTTGTTCATGAATCAAACAAAGCAAATAAATAAGATCAAGTCATCTTCCAGAGAAAACTAAATGTGTGATTTCTGACATGTTCTGAACTCTCATCTTGGTTTATTTCTGGTTCTTCAGGGGGAGAAAATGGATTATTCTAAAGTGGACATGCGACACATCAGAGGTTATTTACATTTGTTGAGCTCAGAAATCTCTTCAGTCATCTTTTTTCTGTATTGCTAAATTGTTTAACTGAAAAAATAGATAACGCAAATTATAAAATCTCATTTACGTAACAGCATCATATCATCAGTACAGTTAATTTAGATATTTTTTTATCCAGATCTGACATAAAAAACAAGAAAAGCAACACTCTTTTTTATTGTAATTTTAATTTGAAATTTCCACTCTCATCTTATACCATTTAATTCGAATCATCTCCTGTTTTTATTCATTCAAATATGTCTTGCTCTACTCTCAACCTTAAATGAAATATTGTTTAAAATAAGTGACATGTTTTTGTTTGTGTGGAAGGTGGGGACAGTAAGACAGAGCTGTGGACGTGGGCTCAGTATTTGGAGGAAACCAAAGCTGTTGCTGCTCCTGAAAAGCTTTTCCAGGAGGTATTTATATTTAGACGTTCAGCATAACAAAGGAGGAAATAGGTAAAGTAGATTTTAACTAAAAGCAACTAAATCTTTTTGTTCTTTTCTCCCACTCTCCAGGCGCAGAGAGTGCCCACGGTGAAGAACGGTTTTAAGCAGGGGATGAAGCTGGAAGGCATCGACCCGCAGCACCCGTCCATGTACTTCGTCCTCACCGTGGCCGAGGTGAGTCGATGACATCTTCTGGTTAAAAGCCCTCGCGGGCTCTTCCTCCTCCAGCCTGATTTTGTTCCTCTTAACGTGTGACGGCGCTGTGATCCTGTAGGTGTGTGGTTATCGGCTGCGGCTGCATTTCGACGGCTACTCTGACTGTCACGATTTCTGGGTGAATGCCAACTCCACCGACATCCACGCTGCAGGCTGGTGTGAGAACACAGGACACAAACTGCACACGCCCAAAGGTCAGAGGTCACAGAAAAGTTATTTAGAGTTTTGTTCAAGTATCGTTGAAGCACACTTTGTGCAATTAATTGAAATAGAAATAACATTCCTTTTGAGATTTAACCCGCAAATGAAAAGGTATTAAAATGAACTAATTGAAAATGTCTTCTTTCAAACTGCTTCGGCTGTTTTCCTAAATCGTCCTGTTTTGTCTGTGTTGCTGTTTCTCCTCAGGCTGTAAAGAGGAGGAGTTTACTTGGACCAACTATCTGAGAATGACTAAAGCTCAGGTTGCTCCCAAAGAGCTTTTTGCCAGTCCTGGAAGGGTCAGTAACACTGCAGTTATAAGTTAACGTTAATTAAACAAACTGAAAATGTGAGATCATAGATTAACTGCTGATTAAACTCCAGACTCACAGAAAAAAACTGTTGAAATAAAAAGATTTATTTAATCATTTCATAGTTTGTCTCTATTGCTAAACACTTGAACTGATTTTCTGCTCATAAAACAGGAACTTTTGAAGATAAATAAAGCAAGAAATTCACTTTTTTTTTGTCTTTGTGCAGCTTGATGTGAAGTGTGGCTTTGAGATAGGAATGAAGCTGGAGGCGGTCGACCGCATGAATCCCTCCCTCATCTGTGTAGCAACCGTCACTGATGTGGTGGACGATCATTTCCTGGTTCACTTCGACAACTGGGACGATACGTACGACTACTGGTGAGCCACGAGTTTAAACTCACTGTTAATTCTGGCTCGTGATAAAACAACAAGTCATTCTTTCAGCTGCCACGTCGGCCTCCATCGTATTTATTTACCGTTATTTAACCAGACAAGTCCTGTTGGGAGCTCAGATCTCTTTTTCAAGGGAGGCCTGGGCCTGAAGGCAACCTATTGTAGGTATTTTTGGGGTGTGGGGGAAACCGGAGTACTAGGAGAAAACCCACACAAGCTCTGCACAGAAAGACCCCAGGTCTGAACCGGGAATCGAACCCAGGACCTTTTTGCTGTGAGGCGTCGGTGCTAACCACTGAGCCGTTGTGCCGCCAACATAAAATTAAATAACCATCTCCCATATCCGCTCTGCTACGAGAAATAAGTCCTTCACCTCACCTCTCCACCTCCTCCTTTCCCATGGCCATCAGCCTCTCTGACCCCCCCCACC